TACCGGGCATCGACGACATTTATTAAAATATGCATGTAAAAAGTGTATTTCATAGCACAATAATCGTGAGTGGTACGGTAGTTTGATTTATGCTTTTATGAGAAAACTTGCATTAATTTCGGGCTGGCGAACGTACGGAACATGGTTCACACATTTTCTATTCTGTTGTTCAGGTCAAGTCATGATGCAAAACACCATGGCGGAAATTGCTTTGTATCGAGAGTTTGCATACGATCAAAAACATTCCACAACGAAGATAAAGATCTTGCCTTCGACTGTTTTTCCACAGACCTTACTCATTTTTGCACTGTAAATTCAGATGGTATGTAAATCGAATTGCAATAAAATGTGTGTATTTTCCTGAACATGTTTGTTTCTTCATTGTAAAAAGTGTTGTGGAAATTAAAAAGACGTAATATTTCTTCGAGACCGGCGCTGTGAACGAAAAATGCAATTTGGATAATTTTTCGTGGTTGGGAAGCTGGTTACAATTTTAAACCCTTTCAAAAAATGATCTTTTCTGAGGTGGTCCTTGAGTATAAGCCCACCCCTAATTTTCCAGATTTTACATGTTCAGGCCCCTGGGCTTATACTCGGGGAAGTACAGTATTATTAAACACCTCAACTAAAAAAAAACAAGCCATGCATGGCACAGTCCCAGTTAGTTATCAAATTTAAGATATATAGTTTTGTTTATAGTAATATAGCTGGAATATAACCATGTCAGGAATATGATTTTTTAACATTAAAATGATTGACATTTGTATCTGATCGTCAAACAAATACTTGTCCATGTTGAGAAATATTGCTCTGGAACAGCATTCAAAATCAGCCATTTTGAATACATGTATATATATATATAACATGATGTATAACGAATATATAAAATTTGAATATAATCAGTCAAAGCATTTAAGAAGCCCAATCATTAAAACAAAATGGCCACCAGACAGCCATTTTGAATCCGATCTGAAAAATAAATGATGTGCATTAGGAACTTGTAATGTCTAACATATGTACCAAGTTTGAACGAAATCCATCCATAAATGCTTGATATTTGATGATTTTTTAGCACAAAAATGGCCACCATTTGGCCATTTTGAATAGGATCGTCAAACCAATATATCTGTCTATCTATGACATGATGTATAATGAATATTTAAAATTTGAACATAATCAGTGAAAGCAAGTCAGAGATATGGCACGAGAAACACATTCATTAAAACAAAATGGCCGCCAGTCGGCCATTTTGAATCTAATCTGAAAAACAAAATTATTTGCATCAAGGTCCCATAATGTCTAATGTATATACCAAGTTTGAACAAAATCCATCTGTAAACAGCCAAGAAATGCTTGATTTTGATGAATTTTTAGCACAAAAATGGCCGCCATTCGGCCATCTTGAATCAGATCGTAAAACAAAATGATGTGCATCAAGGTCCTATAATGTCTAATGTATATACCAAGTTTGAACAAAATCTATCTGTTAACAGCCGAGAAATGCTTGTTTTTGATGATTTTTAGCACAAAAATGGCCGCCATTCGGCCATCTTGAATCAGATCGTGAAACAAATTGACGTGCATATGTATACTATCATGTATGATGTATGTGTGAAGTTTGATTGTAATTGGTCCAGGCATTTCCAAGATACAGGTCCGGACGCACGCACGCACGCACACACGGAAGTCAAAACATAAGTCCCCGTTTTCGGACTGCGTCCGAATGGGGACTAAAAAGAGTGAAACATTTGCTACATTTTACAAGACAGAATTTTATCAAGTGCATAGTATTTAACATATTAACCACAAATATGCATGAAACAGGTATAAAAAGAAAGTTTGAATGAAATCGGTCAAGGCATGTCGGTTGATGACATGTTTGAATTTTGTGATTTTATTCGTTTTTGATGAAAATGGCTGTCATTCAGCTAAATTTTGATGAAAATGAAAAACAATTGAATACAACATTTAACCCATTATATCTTGCCTTTGTACAAAATCTAATCCAAATCTGTACAATTTAACCTCTGTAAAATGAGCAGAACACTATAAAAAAAGTCCGCCATTTTGAATCAAATCACGAAAAAAAATGACGTGCATCAGTAACCCACCATGACTGATGTCAATGCCAAGCAAGTTAAAATGAAATCGGTCAAGACATGTACGAGAAACAGTTGAAGACATGTCCAAATGTTGATTTTTGGTGTTTTGGGGGACAGAAATGGCCGCCAGTCAGTCAACAGTCAACCAAATCCTAATTAAACGATGTGCACACGTCTCCCACAGTCCACTATGACTTGTCTTTGTACCAGCTTTGAAGAAAATTTGCCCAGGCATCAGGAAATGACGACAGATGGACGAACGCACATACAGACGAATGGAACCAAAAACATAAGTCCTTGTTTCGGACTATGTCCGACGGAGACTAAAAGAAACAGAGCTGTTTCTGTTTCGCTCTACTAGTAAACAAGTTTACAGAGAAATACTTATTGACCAGCAATGACATGATCATAGACACATCAATTGGATAACTTATCACTTTACCAGCTGTTGCTTGCTTGGAATTTCATACTGGCAATTTCTAACATACCAAAACAGTTTGCAGTATAGGCAACTATGTTTTGGAGTCTTTATTAATTTTAAACACATGTATCTTCTGGTTAAAAACAAATGCATCATATCAGGTCTACAACAGTAAAATGATAAGAATATTAGCTTGCTTGATCTAAAATCTTTGATAAGTGACCCCAATTAAAGTTTAAATACGAGTAACGATTATAATTATCATTAAACTTTGGGTAACTCAAACATAACCTACATTATGACCCTGGCCAAAGTTTGTGTCTGCAAGCAAACAAAGGACTGTCACACTGATTATCATTGAGGGAGATGCAAGGTCAGAATAACATAACAACCTGCAAAAACCTCCTGTCTGTAGACAAACCTTTGGCCTTTTCGGTTTATTTGTGTGACCCACTAAACAACAAGGTGACGTAGGAGTCTATTCAAACAATAAGCATACGTGTCTGGAACATTGCCAAGAACAGCCAGTATGAACTGTCTATGTATGTCGCATGAATTGTACATGCTACTAAGATATAAAAAAACAGCCAAAATATATTATGTATTCGTAACACATATAGGACATAGATACAAACACATGTACTACAGAATATGCTGGTATGACATCAAGGTAACTGTCGGAGAGATGTTAGAAAAATTTGCATACAGACAAATTTATTGTGGTGAACTACTTATACTTGTCTGAAATTGACCAAATATGAACTATGCACTAGATAAATCTTATTTAGTTATTTTTAGCACATTATGCACAATATTCTAAGCAGTTAAATAACTGCTGGAAACAAAATCAGAGATACAAAAAAGGACAATTGCCAAACATGCATCTCGCATGATATTGAGAGACAATTAAAGTTCCAAGACTGTGGTCAAGAACTAAACATTGGTTTGATCTAGCCGGCTTTCACAAGTATATGACATATAGCTAAAATTGTAATGCAAAGGTGTAAAATATACAAATAGGTCTAAGTAGTATACTAAATATCACAGAGACAGTCGCTATTTCTTTACATCTCAAAGTTAAATCTAAACACCTGAAGGTAAGTCTTATGAAAAAAGCTTATATTTACTTCCTTTTATAATAATAAGTGCGTACTCAGCAAAACAACTCATCACGCCACATATCATGTGACAAATGCAAACAAGATATCCCTAGGTTATCTGATAAGAACTGTTACAGTATTTAGAATGTTCTCATTAAATCAATAATAACATTCAACAGTTTTCTATTATGAAATGTTATTTTTTCAATAGCTTATAAAGACTTATCGGCATCTCAAAGTGAAATACCACAATCTGTCCCTGAAATTTTGAACAAGTACCAATAGTCAAATTATGCCTAAAAAGCAAGTAATTATTAACATTTTACTGATTTTCAATGTTAATTTTAACCCACAGTATACAATACATTACTTGAACAAAAAAAACTAATTATTTTTGTTAAGTTGACAATTATGATGTTTTAAACTTTTCACCACAAAGTTCCTTCTTTTCATCACAAATTCACAAAATGACCGACTGGTAGTCTCATTTTTAGTCTGCACTTTCCTTCAGAAAATTGGGACAAAAATAGCAAAATTTTTTGAGTAAAAACTAAAAATTGACTCAAATTTTGTCTGTTGGTTCCAAAATTAGGGTTCATTTCCAGAAATATTGAAGAAAGTCTTGTGGTGAATAGATTAAAGAGAAAATAAACATAGCGGGGATGAGACATGTGATATTACCATTGGTTACAATGGCGACTATTATGGAAGCCTAGAATTTCAGAAAACCCACATAATTAGATCAGATAAGAAGATAATATGACCACATGTACCATTATAATTATTCAATGAAATATTTTGATACTGTCATAAACATCTGTCCAAATTCACATCTATATGAAATAAAATATTTGGCTGGTATACTGTCTTTTGGGAAAACAACTTAATTACATTCTTTAACTATATTCTTACTAATTGTGAAAATAAATAAATGCCCCAATAAACAATTGTTGATCTTATGTACTAGTAAAAGCATATTCTAATATTAACTTTATTCCTATCATGAGTGGTGGCCATTACTCCTACCTTAATTAAAATAGCAGCAACGACCAACAGACAGAAAAATTATTGATTATCTTAATGATTTTTTTGGCATAGGAAAATTAATATATATTTGACTTTAATTAATTAAATCACTGCAATAAAAAAATGGAATCTCTCTGATACATAATAATATAACACCAAATATTCAATAAACTTGCAGTCGCATGCTAGATTTGATCAATACACAAGTCATACTTTCAAATAGTGGTATCGTCAAAACACAACACAATCATCATTCTGACCATTCACAATAGCACAATTGAAGGCAAGTACATTGATAGGCAACATACCTTGAGTGACATAGAAAGCAACACATTTACATGTTTCACCTACCATATTATCCATTTTAACGCAGACCTCATCAACAACCCATGTTTTCTTGACAGCGCTGTATCTATGTCTGGTAGCAACCTCTGTCTCTAGATCTTCTAAGTTGAATTTGGCCCATGGATCTTCCCAACTACCACTCTTGATCTTAAAAAAAGCCATTCTCCATTTCTTGGTCATGGGAGATGTACGTGGTGTGATTCGAATAGGCCCAGGGCAAGAGCTTGACCGGAATTCATTTTGTACACGAACTGGTTGTGGACGACCATGAATTGCCATCGGCATACTGATTTTCAAATTTGGATGTAAGGACCTGTTATGGTTAGACTGAAAACTGACTGGACTGGATCCAAAGCGAACACTTTTATGGATGTCATTGTCATTATCATCAATTTCTTCATCGGTGTTGTGGTTTTCTTCATCTTCAATATGGATTTCTGTCAGGAGGGGCAGGAGATCAAAATTGTCGAATTCATCTTCCTCCTCCTCTTCCTCCTCATCCATGGATCCTGCACGCATCTGGTTAGCAAATCTAATATCAGACATCCTGTGCTTTTATATAGTAACGATTTATCCAGGTGGTAAGCCGTAGTTGCAATTAAGAGCTGGGTGCAAAGACAACAGTTTTTAAAACGATACAATTTGTTGAACGAGTAGTGATGATAATCATAATGAACATCAATATAAAACTGCAGTCAGTTTTAAACACTATTTAATGAGCTGTATTTTTTGCCAATCGTTTTTCTTTTTAAACTCAGCTAAAATGACCTACATCACGGTTGCTAAAAAAGACGGTTAGGAAACGCTATTGTTAAAAGGTGTGAATCTGTCTAATTCCTCAAGGATGCGTGTCGCGCTGTGTACGCCCTGCCCTCTATTGCTTGAGATTTCAAGGCCCACCATTTTGTTTCATTTTTGTGACGATCACTTGATGTTCCACGAATTTGAAATTTTTTTATAAAACATACTACCAAATGAATTTTTAGTATACTACTGTGCGTACTTATGAAGGTTGTGTGCGATTTGGGGGCTTATTAGAGTAAATTTTATCGTTTTGCTTTCGCGTCACTGTATCAACCATTTTGTTTAAAGTCGTAACACTTTTTTTGTAGACGCCGTAGAAATCATTGAAAATGTATTCAACATTTCCCGCCAGTTTCATAAAATGCCTGTTTAATTGTTCTTGTCTGTCCTTGTTTCATTTTTTTGGTAAATTTTTCATGTTGCAATATTCAGCGTGCCGTTAAATAAGGTTTTAGTCCATGCTACAATTTTTGAACACATTGAACTGTCGGTACAACTTTCTAGCAGTCTCTTCGCCAAATCAATTTTTCGAACCCTTTTTAACCGTTCTTAATTTCATTGGAACTGCCTGTTGTTGCACATTTGGTCTGCTTATATGCATTTTGTAGAGCATGGGCGGGTTATTTCAGTTGTCTTATCGCATATTTTGTTTATTTCCAACAAAATGTATGTGGTATCATGGCTCCTCATTAAAACTTTCGCATGGCTGAAATATAAACACTTGTATGGTTTTTTTGACATCTTTTTTCTGATCATGTTTTGTTGGTTTTTTTATTTTAGTTTTCTGTCGATCTTGTTCTTTAGAAACGAAAATGCCATACAAGACAGGCAAATTTGTATTGAGTTTAAACCGAGCGACAGTTTTGTCAGGATTCACTGGAACAACTTACACTTTATTATTACTGAAAGTATTGACAGAGACACAATAAAATGGCCTGCAGTTGTTGATTGCAATGAACTCTGGGAAAAAAATTTGCATGATTTCCTGTCTACATTTTATGTTAATGATTTATCACAGATTAGTACGTCTTTTGTTTCAAATGTTTGCCCGCGACACGCATCCAATGAAAAGAACATGGTTCGTTTCCTAACAGTCTTTTTTTAGTAACCGTGCCTACATGTATTAGTTACGAAATGAGCCATTTGTCATGTCACATGCACTATACTATGCAAATAACATTCTGCCTGAGTGTTGTTTACGTGTGCAGTACATTCTAATATTTTACCACATGCCAACTCGGTGACAAAAATACGAAAAATTTCCAAAACATACAGCCGCTTCAAACGAAACATTACACAGGGTTCTACATGACGCTCAATACCACAAGACTAGTCGTGTTTACATTATTACCCGCGAACTAAAAATTATGACGGGCGTACGTGAATCGAATGCGCCTAATAAACAAATAATGACTCATCTATAACCAGAACAATACCTAACTGTTTTATTTTATCTGTGATGCGAATATTAGCGAAATATCTTTTATAGAATTGAACTAGGTGTTTTCATACAACAAAGCGACAAAAAAACATGCCCACAAATCACGAGTTCGAAACCGGGGGCCATGTTTTGTGACTCAACCGCCCCTTCTCTTCTTTTTTTTCTACTCGCTAACGAAACGTGCATAATTACACAGGTTGTGTATTTATACTGTGTATTATATTTATGTATAATTACACATGTCCCAGACAATGCAAATAATCACAAAAAATATTACAAGGTAAAACAATAACATGAAACGGCTTGTTTTGAATTTCAACCCAACGCTGAAGGTCAATCGATCGAAAGCATGGTCCTTGTGTTTTTGTTTTGAATGTCACGTTGAGAGGCCAAAAAAAATCATACTCACGACAAATTCAGAAACCTTTACTCTTCACTCTAATCCCGTCAAAGCAAGGAGATGCAGTCACAGGATGCAGTGGCAGTAAAAAAACGTGGTATCGTGAAATGTCGATCTAACCGTTCCAGGTCTAGTATCAAAATACCTCACAACCGCTTGCTTGTCTGGCTGGTTATATTTTTAAAGGTTGTAATGACGTAGCTCATTTCGTATGCATTTCATGACGTCGGCCACGTAGACTTATTTGCATATCAAAACATTGCAGCTATGTGTGGAAATTTCCAATGGTGTTGAATTTCTCGATGCGAAAATAAATGAAAAATAACTTGGATAATAAACTGGATAAAGAAGTATATATATAACTAAATATATATATAGATTCAAAATATGTTAATTAGATTCATTTTCAAATATAATAAATTCACGCAAAAAATAGTTGAAGGTAGCGTGGCCGAGTGGTCTAAGGCGCTGGTTTTAGGCACCAGTCATTTCGATGGCGTGGGTTCGAATCCCACCGCTGCCATGACTTTTTCCCGACAGGTTTCAGTTGTCTTGTTATTATTCTGTTGTTATTCAAGTATTACATGTCACCTTGACCCTGTAGAACACTTGTTTACAAGTCTCTAAACCAATCAGGAACATGAATAAAAGGGTGTGTTCGAAGGCTTGTCGCAGTATGGACTGATGATGTCATCGCTAGGTGAATTCCTTTGGTGACGTGTCTATTTATGGGGATTTCTATGTTCAGGCCCGAGCAACAGAAACCATTCTGTCATTGAGTGACCTCACGTATGTTATAATAACAGTAATAGTGAGTTTTTTTGGTAATAATAATACGTGTAATTCGAGAAAAAAGCGAAACCTTTGTTGATGTTTATAGAAACAATAATAGTAATAATTCGGGAATAAAATAGTGAAAAAAGAAAACTAGATAAGCTATTTGTTTTCGGCCATCACCCGAAGTAGAAACTAGAAGTAAAATGACAAAACAATAAAATCAATTATTAAAAACACATTTTTTAAATTTAAATTTAATTTATAATTGATTAATAAACAATGAGCAAACCAACGCATGAATCAATACGTACACCGAGATGCGTACACTGATAAACCGACCCGGTGCCAACCTGGTGCCGGTCACTATTACAATAAATATATATTTCCTTGCTGGTCTATGTGGTAATCCCGAAATGCCAAAATGTACATCTATGCTTGATTTAGCCTGACAAGGTCGCGTGAGTTGCGCCCTCTGCGGTACTCCAAACCCAACACACTTCGTAGGGTATGTAGAGACTTCTTTTTTGTTTTAAAGATATCCCTTTCGTTGTCACGCTAGTTTTCGCGATCACGCTAAAAAGGCCAAATTGACAATTAATTATATATTCTTTTGTAAAACAAAAAAGAAGTCCCGACTTTGCCAGTCTATGGGGTATGATATGCCGTTTGATCGGCGAGGGTGGCACTCGCGCCTACATGTCAGGTTATGCTGGAAGCGTCTACGTCTTGTTGTTTTTTGTTTTGTTTTTTTGTAGTTTGCGAGGCTAGTTAGTAGCGCAGGGTCCAGGACAGGAAGTCACAAATCGCCGCACCGTACCTGAGGCCAGCAACTCATTTGCATATAACACCAACAGTGACTTGTCAATCGAAAAGCAATGTAAACAAACTTTCGGGACTTTTAGTCACATAGGCGTGCCTCGGTTTCCTGTACTTTAAAATCGATTTTGAGTATGTCCCTGCATTGACAATGCTCAAAAATGTGAACACTATCTAGCCAAGACTGTCTGAGTAAGAAAAAGCAAAAAAAAAACAGGTGCAGCCAATGAAGCTGTTCGTCAGAAAAGCTGTTCCAAGAGATTTTTGTTGAGGGCAGGGGATTTTTTCTATTTTTTTGTAGGGGGCGGGAAATATCAGTACCCCCCAGTGGGCAGGGCAGATTTCTAAAAAAAATGCAAGGACAGGGAAACTTTTTTTTTTAGTGGGTAGGCAAAACAGCCTTTAGGGCAGGGTATAATAAAAAAAATGCATTGGGGGAATAACATCTGCTAAATGTGGACAGCCGTGTGCTATCAATAACTGAAAATGCGAGTCACCCACTGATCTGCTGAGTGGTTAATGTATTCAAGAAGCCCATAGAAGCCAATGACTCGATGAATTACGCCACCAATCTGTGTTTTTTTAATGAGGGGAGGGGAAAGATGAATTTGGTCAGCAGGAGGGGAAGGCCATTTTTTTTCAGGTGGAGGGTAGCTTATGAATAGCTTTTAATTTCCCCCCTCTTTCCTTTATATTAATTAGCATATTTCAAAAGGCCCATAAAATAAATTTTGGCCCAGAGAATTGACTATTTCAATTTATTGCTCGTTGGCTGCACCTGAAAAAAGTTTACTCCGATCCGAGTGCCCACGAACCTACGCATCTATACCGATTGATATCAATTTCTGTTGACGCTGAGGGCAGGATTCTACTAGATGAGAGAAGAGACACAGTGCCTGGAACAGCCACTGTATACAATCGAAACTTATTTAGGCTTGCCAACGCTCACGCCGACAGACATAGTAAAAAGCGGAGACATTTGTTAAATTTGGTAACATGTTTAGTATGATAGAAAGCATGTTCAATTTTCAAATAACCACAATAGACGACCAACGCTCCTTATTTTTCAAAACGGATAGGATTTGACCTCGTACATTAGGATACAGACAAATCAGTTTTCTTTGCAAGTTGATAAAATAAGGGAAACAAGATTAGGGTAGATGATACCGAAGGTCTTCTAAGAATCATAATTTTCAAACTGTTCATCGACCTATCGCCAAATATTATATATATATTCAGGATATGTAGTTCATTTTTACTGTCATGAATTTGTTTTCGCGTATCTGTTGACCGACTTAATTAGCTGATTATTAGCGAATTGCTGTGTTATGTCTGTCATCGTTTAGGCCTATTTGAAGTTTTGGACGGAACTTGGCTCAGTGATTTGGAACTAATTACCAGATAACCGCCGCTATTCAGACTATTCATTCTGACAGTTTATATTCATAGTTATTAATGTAGTGAACGATTAATCAAAAGATATGACGTATTCAGTACTTAGTGTGATTGGCTTTATGATTGAAGGTTACGCCCTAGAGTCTTTTTACTGCTTTGTAATTGGTTAGAGTTTTGAAAATGAATAAAGAGAGTTTGAGTTGGTCTTGGGGAGCACAGCACGATAGACGCAGTAGAGAGAGTGCAGTCCTGGAGAGTCTAAGTCCAGTCCTGGAGAGTCTTGGGGCGAGTGTTGACGCAGTCTAAGAGAGTCTTGGGTCAGCCTTGCGATAGTCTTGGGTATTTTTCCCCAGGGCGCTGTGTCTTATAGAGTGCTCGACTGACCGACTAAGACGAGAGTTGAACCGTATTTCGTTGTGTGCGTTTATTTGACTGTAAAGCTTAAGTGAATTTCCCGATCCCGTACCTCAAGGGGACGCGATAGAGAGACGAGACGAGATTCCCCCCTGACAAGTGTGGAGAACCCGAGAGTAAAAGATTTTACCCCTGATATTACTATCACAGAGGGACTGGTTTGTGAGAAAACTTTTACAAATCTAGCCCGGCCACTGATCGTGACTCAATTTAGATGTCAAATTTTACCGGACCGACATGGCTTGGCATCTTTATTTTTGGAATGAATACCACATCCTCACTTTTCCTCGCTTCTCTGCTCTCGGTCCACTGGAGTCAGCATTGCCCTTTTCAAGTAAGTGTCTCGATCATAATCATTAATGAAAGGAGCGAGTGGCCCTAGATATAAACGAAACACAGTCCCGCTCCATCAGCATTTTGTGGAACACAGTCAATTCATATTACTAGTATACATGTATGCTAAATTCACACAGACTAACATTCTTTTAAACCATTTGTTTCTCTTACTTTGCCCACACTAACACTTTCATCCCAATACTATAAAATAAAATAAAATATTATTTTCATTCACTAAAATCAGAACAAGCACCCAAATACTTTATAATAAGCACTGACGTATAAGAGGACACAGTTCAACTTTATGTTGTGTTCGCGAACGAGTGTCGTTCAGAATTTAATAATAGTTCATACTTGTTGTATCCCAAAACGTACCACCATTTCGACCACTCCTGTGCCGGTGATCAGTGTTTGGGCTAGCGGTCGGTGTTTTCAATGAGCGAGCGAGAAAAAAACGATAAAAATGCGGCCGTTTGCTGGTCGGAAAATACCGCGCAGTCGAAAATTAAGCGATAAGCGGTCGATTAAAAGTGGGAAGTTGAGCGAAATGAGTACTGTAGTTCAAGTGATGTTAGCGTATTTCTAATTTAGTTTTAACTCGTACAATATTTATTTACTCACTGTTTACTAAAAGCTCAACCAACAACGTTATTTTTCATTTGGGATTTCGATAAAAGCAACACGAATCGTTGTGGCGTTCATACGCACAGCACCTCGTGTTTCAACTTTTAAATTGTCAGTAAACAAGGTCTTTTATAGTAGAACTTCTATGGGAAAGACGTATGAATGCGATGGGTCTAATTATCAGTGTTCACGACGACGTTATTGACTGTCCCTCTAGAGGCAAAATAACGCCATGCAAAGTGGACGTTTGTCGTCTACTTCACAGCCCGTTTTATACTCGATACTTAGGGCATTTCGCAGCGCATACAAGTTGTTTTTATCGCCAGAATTCTTTTTACGACAACAGCTCTGTTGACGTCGCACGATTCACTGTGGTGAATGGAATTCCCTGTCACCTCAACATTTAATATAACTTGTTTACCCTGTGAAAGGCTATTTCCACAACTAGTACTACACGGAGATTAATCCAAAGAGATGTTCATCTATACGATTCTCCATGGCAGTCTGTGGACTTCTTATTTGGGTGCAATAATAATAATACTAATATACTACTAATATACTACTACTACTAATACTAATACTAATACTTAATATACTACTAATATTAATACTAATACTTAATACTAATACTAATATTAATACTAATACTAATACTAATACTAATATTAATACTAATACTAATACTAATACTAATATTAATACTAATACTAATACTAATACTACTACTACTACTACTACTAATAATAATAATAATAATTTATTACGCATCTGTAATCTGCTATGAGTAAGTTAAAAAATAGTGTTTATCAGTAACTACAAAAATATAGTAAATAAATCAAAGTAAAGTTCTGTAAATAAAATTATTGCAATGTATTGTCCCCAATACTGATGTCTTTTCTTCTTCAACCCGTATATTACAAGAACAACACGCCATGGGGTGGGGGTATTCTGTATAACACACAAAGGTGGAGATAACGCATTTGTGGGGTATATCTAACATCCTGAGGTAGCATGTTTTTCACTCTAGTCATAGTAGTACAAATCTATGTGATTTGGTGGCTTCCGGTAGCAGGAACGTAGCAACGGCCAGCACGTAAAATACAATTCTGCATTCACCACGGTCAGATTATTATCATCGGTTTCTCTCTTATACATTGTTCGTGGCCTTATATTATTATATTTGTAGACGTGCCAGTGATAGCTATCAAACACCGAGGTAAGTGACTCTATACAATAAAGCAATACACTTTGGAAGAGTGAACTTAATTATGCATAAGTGGTGGGTTCACTGGAATTGTGAATGAGCTGGCAAAATTAACGTATTGTACAACATGCCCCTCAGCTAGCGTACTATTTTAGGTAATTTAGCTTGATATTTAATTAGATAACAGGACACACGCGTACTTATTTCATACAACGAGCGCTGACTGTTTTCATTTTGTGACAACTTATAAACTTTTATTTAATGTGATTGGAATAGGAGTGTGTAATCACTAAAATTAGTATTTGTTGCCGAAAACAATTTATAGATAAATGAATATAAAATTGAAGATTGTTTGTTTTTACCGCAAATATCATCATTATGTTTTGTGTGTGTACAGAGAGGGTCAATCGGGTTAAGGTATAACAGAAACCTTATCTATGAGATAAACGAAAGACGTGATAACTGGTGGCGCTAGTTCACAAAATAAAAAGTGGAAGTAAATGGTCGAATCACTTCCGGGTTGTGCCATTCATTACGAGGGGAGAATAATTCCAGCTGTAGCATTTGAAGTAAGATTAAAAACATTTATATATCAATAAACTAATACATTTTAAATTTTGAACTAAATACTGATTTATTTTGTAGGAATAATATTGTTAATGGCCTCATATGTGAAGATCATCGAATCACAACAGAGTACCATGTATTCCTCTAGAAAATGTATTATGCCAGTACGTTGACCCTCATTGCCACGTAAGTTTTTGTCGCGGTCATCGATCAGCAGTTAATGTCATATGTTACCGGTAGCACCCCGACAATCGGCGGAATTGAATCGGCTAATCATTAATTCTCAATGTGGACTAGCCGACCGAATATTGACATAATGATGGTGCCCACTGAACAGCAGTTTGATGGATGTTCGCCGTCAGACTCGGAGCACGACGGCGATGAAGACGGTATTGTTCATCTGCACGACGATTCTGGTATTCTCAAATCGGGATGCGACGAGGAATGGTACAGCAACGGTAAGATTGTCGCCATATGGCACGAACAAACATTGGCACATGCTGTCGGTACTGTCAGGTCGAGGGTCGTGTTGACAATTGTGACGGAAGATGAAGCCGGTGATTTTTCGTGTGCTGTGTTTTGGGTCATTTTTGTCATTTGGCTGAAGAAAAAATCGACCAGACAATGATTTTAAATGCCAGCCAATGAATTGGGGTGGTGGGGTTGGTTAGGGTGGTTTGCTGTGGGCTGGTGTGGGGTTGTGTATGTTTGATCCCGACATCTACGCCATTTCCTGTATAATCAAACGACAAATCATTTGTTTTGATTTGACCAAATTGTTTTATCATTGGAAAATTTAACGTAAATGTCAACACTAAGCGCGTTTTTAGTGAAATCAAAATATGCATTCATTTTTTTTGTTTGTTTTGGCTGTGATTATACTGACGTGAACAATGAACTATTTACTGAGATAGCGTGCATAGATAACTGGTACTCTATGTACGTGGACTGCTGAAAACGCCATTCATGAAATATAATCAAATTAACTTTTTCTTTTTATTTAACAATAGCTTAATGTACAGTAACAATCATTCTGTCCTTGTGGTGCAGTCATTTGTTTATTGTCATATCAATATAATGGAGAGTTTCGGATTTTGATAACTTTTGTTGTGATATGAATGAATAATACGATGACAATGTGAACTACCAGTAGATAAAAGGTTGACATACACTTTATTTTTATTTTAATCCTAATTATTAACTCTGTGTGTGAAGCACACAAGCGAGGTAATTAGTTTAGTGTGTCTGTCTCTGTGCATGGAGCTAACAAAGAGAATGAACTGTCTTTAATCCTACATGAGTCTTTTGTTTTGAGCTAATTATTTTTATGCCAACATTAGCGTTTCATTCTGCTGATTCAGAAATGTGTTGAGGAGAGGGGACTTGTGGTGGAAATTGTTGAAGTGAACTCCTTTTTAATAAACATATACGGTATATCTTCTTTTTATTTTATCATTTCTGGTCCTTTGAGGAGCAAGTCAGTTAGAGTTTACAAAATCTTTGTTCCCACCATTTTCATCTTCTTGTTGTTCTTTAGACATGGTTGTTATGAATGCAAAACTACTAATTTGAATATTCATGTCTGTTAATTATAGGGTTCATATCTGTGCATATTAAGTAGCTTATTTGCATATTGTCACATCTAAAAACGAATTTTGATCAAAATTGCTATATGGTGCTGAACATCTGCTGGCTGATGATTCTAAACTCTAATGCTATTGCTCTTTCATTGACTGTTGGAATTTTAATTTCCTGGATATTTTATTTATAAAACAATAAGACACTTCACGATAGTCATCTTTTGCAGTCAGTGATATTCACAAATTCTATAGACATTTTATAACTGGTTTTGTGATTCCCACCACCAAATCCAAAATTGTTTACTTTTTAAGTTTTGATGATGTTAATAGGTGTATATATTTTTTGTACATACATGTACACTCACAAAAATACCAACAACAACAAAAATTTATTATATAACATGGACACAAGAAAGCATTGTTTTCTCTTGCCATAGTTATGCAGGGGTTGCATTAGTGTTCGATAA